TGGTTCAATGTTTATTGCAAAACGTATTGAAATGAACTTATTGCACATATTAAACCTGGAACCAACAAAGCTTAAATTAAACTGCTTAAATTGATGCCTAGACTGAGGCTAGTAATTTTGTTTTGTGAGAGAGATTTAGTGTTCCTCGAGTTGATTTGAGATTGTTTGAGACTTGATAGACATGGTTTTTGCATGAGGATACCTTTCTCTTTTGGAAAGGTATCTGCAATAATCAGCAGAACACACCTGCAGTCATCTGTATTCGAGAGAAATGGATGTCTCTCTAAATTGCGTACGGTGCAGTTTTGGACAATCAGAGGAAGACAGGAGCGTGAAGTGTCAGCGTTTTGTGGAGCGAGTGGAACCCAGACTGCAGCAGACGATAACGGGCCGCTTTGGCTCGTCTCTTCCTGACAGCTGTCGCCATAATCACTGCAAACGAGATTTAATGAACTCTGAACCATCGCTGAGGAGACTCCTGGTGCTGACCCAGATCAAACTGCAGATAGAGGGATGTTCCTCTCTCCATATATACTGTTTTCTTTCTGCTTTTTAACGTTTGGTATTAGTTCTCTCTCTCTCTCTCTCTCTCTCTTTGGATTCTCCTCTACTTAATTGGGATCATTTTGATAACAAAGACATATGCAAGCCACATTATAAATATATTATGAGCATCAGAAATCAGATTAGAAACACTTAATGTATTCACAGGTGGAAAATTGGATTGCGTTAGAGTCTAAAACTCAAATTTAGAATAACATACAAATATGTATAATAACATACAGAGGTTAATTAAAAACGCTGCACATTATACTACCACATATAACAGCAAGACATGTAAAAAACAATTACTTTTTAATATATCCAGTAGTGTGTTGATATCAGTAATGACATTAATGCTAAAAATCTGATCACAGCTTGAAAGGTAGAGTATAATCCAGCAAGTATGCAGAAGTAATGCAGCTTGTGCAGAGCTGAATGATTGCCAAGGTTATATAGCATAAGGTAGTTTAGTTGGGTGAGTCCAAGTCAATTATAACTGATTACACACTTGTAGAAACATCCCACAGGGCTACACACACACACACACACACACACACACACACACACACACACACACACACACACACACACACACACACACACACACACACACACACACACACACACACACACACACATGCAGGCCTAATGTGCAGCTTGTCAGACCGGAGAGAGGATGGGTTAGTGGGTTATTTTCATGTATATCAGACCCACACCTACGACTTTTATTGATTTTTGAAATGTTTTATTTTGTTCTTATTTAGTTTTAATATTTGAATTTAAATATAGTATTATTATCATTTCTTATTTGTATTGTTTTCATTGTTATTATATTACTTGTTATGTATTTATTTCAATTATTATCATTTTTTATTTATTGCATTTTTTATTATACTTTATTGTATGCCTTTATTATTATGTATAAATTATTTTCTTGTTTAATGTTTTTTTTTAATATTATTTATAGTATATTTTTATTGTTACCCATTTGTATTTACAATATAATATTTTTATGTTGTTATCTTCCCTCGGAGGTTGAGGGGGGGAGGGGCGTCCAGTAAAACAAAATCTGTACTTTTATTATTAACACAAAATATAAATACGCTAAGAAATACAAATATTATTATGGATTAAATTAAAGACAGTAGTAATAATAATCCACTGGTTTAACATTACTATTCTGAAAAATAAGTATTTTTAGTTTTTGTACTTGAAGTATATTTAAATGCCAGATCATTTGTATATTTATTTCACCAGATTTAAGACAAAGTCAAGATGAAAAATAGGATTGTGCCGCAGCCTATGGGCATTTCTTTTTTGCACCCATGCTGCATGCATTACAATACATCATTCCACATGCAATAAACATTAACATTAACAAAAAGAAAAAGCAAGCACATCACCGGCAACATGCAAAACAAACAATGCAAATCCTCTCCTCTAAAAAGTATAAATGCAGGTATATATGCATTTATACTTTTATTTCATATTCTTCAAGTAACTGTGAAACTCATACCAGAGTGAAGTATTCATTATTTAGTGAGCATGAAAACAGTTTTCTGATTGAGCTTCATTTAGAGGTGAAGAGAGAAGGGAACAGGAGAGGTGAAGAAGGAGAGAAGGGAACAGGAGAGGAGGAGAGAGAAGGGAACAGGAGAGGAGGAGAGAGAAGGGAACAGGAGAGGAGGAGAGAGAAGGGAACAGGAGAGGTGAAGAAGGAGAGAAGGGAACAGGAGAGGTGAAGAAGGAGAGAAGGGAACAGGAGAGGTGAAGAAGGAGAGAAGGGAACAGGAGAGGTGAAGAAGGAGAGAAGGGAAAAGGAGAGGAGGAGAGAGAAGGGAACAGGAGAGGAGGAGAGAGAAGGGAACAGATCTGAAACTGAGGGAATGAATGCGTTGTAAATAATAACTGTTATCAAGCACAGGTGTAGAAAATGAGAAGTTAAGTAAGGGAGGATAGGAGGCATCTGAGCACCGACGCTAATAGATTAGCTGTCAGTTAGCATGGTGTGTGTGTGTGTGTGTGTGGTGTGTGTGTGGTGTGTGTGTGTGTGTGTGTGTGTGTGTGTGTGTGTGTGTGTGTGTGTGTGTGTGTGTGTTGTTGAGGGAAACATTAGATTTGGTTGAATGCTAATGCAGCGAAGCAGATAATAAGGCTGTCTAATGTTTCCAGTAATATCATTAATATGTGACGGTACACACACACACACACACACACACACACACACACACACACACACACACACACACACACACACACACACACACACACACACACACACACACCACACACACACACACACACACACACACACACACAGGGGAATATCTGCAGGAGGAGAAGGGATATAGAGATTTAAATAAATAGAAACTTTGTAGAAACAGCTGCAGAGGATGTAATGCAGAGTTTGACCAATAGGGAGAGATAAAGCATCAGCTTAGCTAATGTAATGATTACATATATACAAAAGGAGTGGATGTGCAATAATATGTCCTTTTCCTACCTTGTAATCACCTTATATGTCAGTTTAATGTCTGCATGTTCTGCACTGCTGGCCAATCAGGATCAAGCATGACACTTACACAAGTTTTAATTCACTAATTAGTCATTCATTCAACTTTTATGTTGTTAAAACATATCAAACATAAATATATATTCAAAATATCAGTCCTTTAATGACTTTGAACATGTCAAACATGGCAACAATGTGACTTCAATATGCATTTATGTTAAGTTTAAGTAAGAATGAAAGTGAAACACAGATATAAGTCACACACACTTCTCACTGAAGCTCATTCATTATGGAAATGCAAGTGACTTCTGCTTATATGGTAGCATACCAGCGTCAGTGTGTGTGTGTGTGTGTGTGTGTGTGTGTGTGTGTGTGTGTGTGTGTGTGTGTGTGTGTGTGTGTGTGTAGACACATGGTTAAACTCAGATTAATCTATTGCAGCCAAATGTACACACACACACACACACACACACACACACACACACACACACACACACCACCACACACACACACACGTGTCGCTTTCACCTCAACGAGCGTTTGTTCTGGAAAATGTCACACACTCTTACAGATGAACAGCTCTCATCTCGTTATTTCCTCCTCTTCTTCTTCTCTCACCTTTTTCATCAATATGCGCCTCCTTTCCTCCCTCCTTTTTTCCTTTCCTCCCTCCTTTGATTCTTTCCTTGTTTCCTTTCCATGTTTCCTTGCTTTTTTCCTCTCTTGTCTCTCTCCCCCTTTTTTCCATTCATCTCCACATGATGCTCCTGTAATTGAATCAGTGTGTCCCTTGGATACCGACTCTCTCTCTCACACACACACACACACACACACACACACACACACACACACACACACACACACACACACACACACACACACACACACACTTCCATTCATTCCCCTTGGTACAGTACATGCAGTGAATTTAGTGCATTACATTCACTGTATATTACTGTAATAAAAATATAACTTTTACTGGTATTTTTGGAGGTTTTTATCATTAAATAAGGATCAGAGTACTTTCTCCATTACTAAGTAGAAGTATGAAACAGAAAATCGAGACACTCGACCAAAGTTAAGTTAAGGAATTTCATTTTGTTGCTACAGAACAATAAAAATGCCTCACATTTAATGAAGTTCTTGTCTGATTGGCATTGGAAATATTACCATATAACTATTCATTTGATGCAAGAAAGCAAAAAAGAAGATATGTTAAAGAATTATTCTTACGTTTTTAGAGTTTCCCCTCCCTGTAGTGTGTTCTATAGGTTTTAGTGCATGTCAATGGTCTGCAAAGGCTAAAATCCCAAAGTTCCAGAACATAGTGACATCACTATGTAACACTCACGCTCCTATTGGCTAGCGCTCCAACACATTGTACGTGATAGGCTAAGGGGCGTGACATCTCTAAGCGGTTGACCAATCAACAACAGAGCCGGCCAGCTAACCAATCAGAGCAGACTGGGCTCTGGTTTCAGACAGAGGGTGAAAAGAGGTGATGTTTTTGACAAATTGCATAAAGGAGTACTTTGTCCACCATGTTTACGATGCAGTAGATACCAATACTACCCAACATTTTATGCACTTATTGCGTGTTTTTCATGGTAAAATATGATAACTATAACTGTGAATTAAATGCAGAGGAGTAGAAAGCAGATTCCCCCTGAAATGCAGAAAGACATAGCATATATATATTTTTGAAAGAAAGTGAGATTTGGTGGTGGTTTTGTTGCAGCTTTAAAAAAGAAATTGTGTGGATATTTAGCATTGTAAGAATATTTCTAACACCTGTAGCTTCAGGTCTGTGTTTTCTAAGGAGAGAGAGTGAGAAAGAGAGAGAGCATAAGGAGGCGTGAGAAGGAGGAACTCTCGCGAGATGTGGAGACAGACAGACACGGAGTGAGCAGAGATCTCAGAGTGAGAATCCTCCGCACATGAGGTGCGCGACACCCCGGGGAGAGGGGGACTAACCTTACATTTGGAGCAAACGCAGTTTTATTTTTATTTTTTTCTATGCACACGGAGAGAGACAGTCTCCCTTTGAAGGTAAGAGACATCAAACACTTCTTTAAAGCCTCTAAATCCGCATCAAACGGCGCAAATTAACACCTGTAAGCATCCGTAATTGATTAATTAAGTCCAACTGTAGCCTTTAAAATGTGACACCGCTGCCTGTCATGTTCGGACCGCTTTACACATGAGATACACCTCCGCCATAATGTAGAATATCAGTTTTAACAGCCGTGTTGCAGCTGGCGGAAGCACATTTGGTGACTTTGGTGCGCATTTTCTCTGCTGTACCTCCATCAGTGGGTTTATTCCTGTCAGAAACACTGATTCTGCCTCCCACTGACTCTATTACACCTCCGTATCACCAACATGCTGATCAGATGTTTACCCAGAATCCCTCTCTGATTTCTGGGTGTTTGGATGTGATTTCAGTGAGTGTATTTTAATGATGCTGCAGGTTGTGTGTTGCTGCAGAGAAAAGCTGATGCTTTGGGTGACTGGTGGGTGGTTTATGTATCTGACTCTATTGACTAACGCTGCTCAGAGAGAGAGAGGGGGGTGTGTGTGTGTGTGTGTGTGTGTGTGTGTGTGTGTGTGTGTGTGTGTGTGTGTGGGTGTGTGTGTGTGGTGTGTGTGTGTGTGTGTGTGTGTAGGTGTGTGTGTGTGTGTGTGTGTGTGTGTGTGTGTGTGTGTGTGTGTGTGTGTGTGTGTGTGTGTGTGTGTGTGTGTGTGTGTGTGTGTGTGTGTGTGTGTGTGTGTGTGTGTGTGTGTGTGTGTGTGTGTGTGTGTGTGTGTGTGTGTGTGTGTGTCGTCCATGACATGGAGGTTGTGCAGGTTTTTCTATGCGCGTACACGTTCTCTGTGTTTACATTTAAACCTGTGCGTGTGCACGAATAAGAAAAGGAAGAAACACACACACTAAAAACGAGAATGAATAAACGAGAAAGAGAGTGTGTGTGTGTTGCATATTAACCCCTCTCTTCACCTAAATTAAAAGTAAAGCCTCCCCTCTCTAAATGTCGGGCCGCCAAACATTAGGTTTCTACTGCTGCGACACACACACACACACACACACACACACACACACACACACACACACACACACAGGTCCACGATATGAGCATCCAGCAGGAGATGAGCAATAATTGCATCTTGAGATTGTATTAGTTATAAAACAGCGGCACGTCAGCAGTTTTCAATTCGGTTTCTTTCCTGCTTTTGTGAAAGACAGTGAAATAATGTATATCCTGCTAATCATCAGGAGTAATTACAAAGATAATAGTTGCACAATCATCATTTATTATCGTGAAGGCAATGCAGTTCAGGCCTTGGTTATTCTTTTTGGGTTGCAGTAATAATTTGATCAATTTAAACTGAATCAGCAACATTTTGTCAGTCCTTTCTTCAGGCAAACGCACCAAAATGTCCTGCTTCTTGCTTCTGAAATGTGACATGCTTCAGTTTCTCTCCTTCATGCTTTAATACACATAATACAGTTGAGTTTTGCATGTTGATCGAGCATAACAAGCACTTCACGTTGGGCTGTTTGAGCTTGTGTTTGGCAGTTTTTTACTATTTTCTTGCACTATTTATGCAACTTGTTTAGAACACGTTAATAGATCTGCAGATAATAACTTGACGCAGTAGCATTTATCAACAAAATATAACAACTCTGTTTCCAAGCCATTGCAAACAAAAAACATGTTGTTTTCAGCCGTGTTTCTGAGCTCTGTTGTCACACTGCGTACAGGACGTTCCTAATTCTACTAGTCAAAGTGACCTGCTTCCTCAGAGGCCTTTGTTTGTGCATTATTGATAAGTAGTTATTTTGCAACCTGACAAAAAACGTATATCATGGGTTAGGGTATTTCCGCCCGGCAACACGTAGCTTGGCTCCCAGGGTTTGATCATCGACCTGAAGCCCCCCTTTTTTCTACTGTATGTAGTGGGAGATATCTCTTTGGAGATACAATAATATCGTGTTTGTGATCTCTTTCCATCTTTTGCTTTGCCTATAGGCAGAACAAATGCGTATTCAGGCGACTTGTGACTCAACTCTACTTTAGACATTTCCCCAGCACTGCTCGTTGAAGCAGATCGTGTTTCATACATTCTTCGTACTCCAATAAATGCTTCCTGTTGAGGTTGTGTTACCTCCTCGGGCTACAATTTTTAAATTCGACAACATTTGCAATAAATGTTTGTTTGTCAGATTTTTTCAATCGGAAAAACCTCCAAACGACAGACCTCCTCTACTACGTTCTTCTTGTGCGTCATATCTCCATCTCCTTCTCTCTCTCTTCAGCGTCCATCTTTACATTCAGCTTCACATGTTATGCTACTGCTACTACGCTTGGCGCTGTACCCAGCATGCGTTTCAGTGAGTGATACGAGTCCCCTTCGCCACTTTTTCAACGGTATTTCGGTTTATGTAAAATACATCACGGTAAAAAGTTCACGGTACTCGGTATGAAGCGGTATACCTCCCAGCACGACTGTCTTGTCAACACAAAATAGAATTGAAATGAATTATAATGTTAAACTGTTATACACACATAGCTTAACTTGGACTGTATGTTGATGCATGCTTTGAATTTGAATTCAAATGGTTGGTGTGATATATTTAATGTTTTGAGTCAAGACAAAATAGTCTGGCATAAACCATCTTATCATAATGTGTTTTTAAGCATGGTCCTTGTCTAATAATGACGAATAGCGGTTCAGGTCTGTGGACGTAGTTGTTGAGTTTTTTGACAAATTGAGAATGATTAAGCAAACATTTTAAAGTAATTTTCAAGCCAAAACACATGTGAGGATTTGCTGGTATTTCTGCTTTCTGCTTTTATAATGGAATATGTTTGAGTTTTTGGAGTTTGAGTTTTTGGAGACGTCAAATTTGGCTCTGTGAACTTGGTAGGCACTTCTTAGACTAATTTATGGCTCTATTCATGAGAGATCGTTGGTAGATCTTGAGAAAATCAACAGTCGACTTCTCTGCAAAACATCCTTTGAGAAAAATACAATCTAACACATCGACTCCTCTCCAAGGACTGATGATCCACCTCTGTTTTCATGGACTCTGAACATGATAAACTGTCAGTATCTCCGTGTTTCTCCGCTCTGATGTTTGTCCTGATGGTGTTGATTGCGTAACGGATCACACTTCAGTGATCCCCGTCTCTTCCTCATCCCACCGCTCCTCTGCAGCTGCACAGATGGATGCCAACCTGACTCAAAACACGTCTTCTCGTTCCTAAAGCCACTAAATCCTTTATTCCATCATGCAAAAACAATGCTATACGACATCCTTTAAGCTCATAACACAGAGCAGAAACAGACAAAAAAAATATGAAACTGGAGCTTTTTGAGACAGATTTCTAGCATGACTGTTTGTTTAAAGATGGATTTAGGAGCAGACAGTGGATCAGCTCTGTGACATATGGGAGAATAACAGATTTAAAGTGGTCTCTAGTGTCACCTGTGTGTGTTTCAGGATGAGAAATGTCACTACAGAGATTATGAGGAGTGTTGCTCGCTTTATCTCTGCACCAGTTAACTTTATATCAGCAGATTCCCTTCATCTGAGGAATAAAAACATGGAATACAAGCACCTGGAGCCTAGTGTCTCTACTTTAAAGAGTCCCCTCCTGCTGATGTTCAGGTGTATATCAGTATGTAGCGTCTCTACTTTAAAGAGTCCCCTCCTGCTGATGTTCAGGTGTATATCAGTATGTAGTGTCTCTACTTTAAAGAGTCCCCTCCTGCTGATGTTCAGGTGTATATCAGTATGTAGTGTCTCTACTTTAAAGAGTCCCCTCCTGCTGATGTTCAGGTGTATATCAGTATGTAGTGTCTCTACTTTAAAGAGTCCCCTCCTGCTGATGTTCAGGTGTATATCAGTATGTAGTGTCTCTACTTTAAAGAGTCCCCTCCTGCTGATGTTCAGGTGTATATCAGTATGTAGTGTCTCTACTTTAAAGAGTCCTCTCCTGCTGATGTTCAGGTGTATATCAGTATGTAGTGTCTCTACTTTAAAGAGTCCTCTCCTGCTGATGTTCAGGTGTATATCAGTATGTAGCGTCTCTACTTTAAAGAGTCCTCTCCTGCTGATGTTCAGGTGTATATCAGTATGTAGCGTCTCTACTTTAAAGAGTCCCCTCCTGCTGATGTTCAGGTGTATATCAGTATGTCGTGTCTCTACTTTAAAGAGTCCTCTCCTGCTGATGTTCAGGTGTATATCAGTATGTAGCGTCTCTACTTTAAAGAGTCCCCTCCTGCTGATGTTCAGGTGTATATCAGTATGTCGTGTCTCTACTTTAAAGAGTCCTCTTCTGCTGATATTCAGGTGTATATCAGTATGTCGTGTCTCTACTTTAAAGAGTCCTCTCCTGCTGATGTTCAGGTGTATATCAGTATGTAGTGTCTCTACTTTAAAGAGTCCTCTCCTGCTGATGTTCAGGTGTATATCAGTATGTAGTGTCTCTACTTTAAAGAGTCCTCTCCTGCTGATGTTCAGGTGTATATCAGTATGTAGTGTCTCTACTTTAAAGAGTCCTCTCCTGCTGATGTTCAGGTGTATATCAGTATGTAGTGTCTCTACTTTAAAGAGTCCTCTCCTGCTGATGTTCAGGTGTATATCAGCATGTAGTGTCTCTACTTTAAAGAGTCCTCTCCTGCTGATGTTCAGGTGTATATCAGCATGTAGTGTCTCTACTTTAAAGAGTCCTCTCCTGCTGATGTTCAGGTGTATATCAGTATGTAGTGTCTCTACTTTAAAGAGTCCTCTCCTGCTGAGAGAGCTAGCCAATAGGAGCGTTAGTGATGTCACTATGTTAAGTAAGGAGTCCAATGGAGGCGTTTCATTCTTTTCTATAAAACATGCTAATACTTTTACTTGAGTTGCATTATCGGGATTCTTTAAATCATTTAAAGTCATTTTTTAAAATTACTTTCAGTTCTGCGTTATTGTTTGTTTTGCTCCGAGTTATTCCTCGACAGTTTGCTCCTTTTGTGTCCTCTAAATATTGTTTAAAACA